TATTTACACACACCAGATCAATGTCTGTATATAGATAAAACTAGGTATAATTTATACCTGTCAACTTTTTTCCCCTGAGAGGAAGAGTTGTGCTTTTGCTTTTAAAACTGTCTTTTCCAGCTTTTTTTTTTAATTGTGAAAATACTGTACAGAGGAGTTACAATTACATGGGCAAGATAATGAGTATATTTCTTAGCAAGCATTGTAGCCTCCTCTTTTGCTTCCCCTTCCCATCCCTTCCCATCCTCCCCTCGACCCCCATTATCCAGCTCTTTTATTCTAATATTGAAAGGTGTCCTTTTTTTTTTTTTTTTTCCAGTCATGGGCCCTGAACTCTGGGCCTGGGCACTGTCCCTCAGCTCTTCAGCTCAAGGCTAGCGCTCTACCACTTGAGCTGCAGCACCACTTCCAGCTTTTTCTGCTTATGTGTTGCTGAGGAATCAAACCCAAGGCCTCATGCATGCAAGGCAAGCAATCTACCACTGAGCCACCTTCCCAGCTCCTGTCTCCATTTTTTTTATTAGCACCAATTAGTTGTACAAGGGGGTTCTGATGTATCTATATATGCAAACCATGTACCACAACCAGAATCACCCCTTCCAACACTCTCCCTCATCCCCTTCTCCCCTCTTCCCAGACCAGTTTGAAAAGTCCCTTCTTTTAGGAAATGTGATGATGATAGTGGTAAATGTTTTTTAAATCCTGATGGTCTAGCTCAGAATTATATCAACGGCCTAGTTTGTCAAAGGTTTGATTTACACACACACACACACACACACACACACACACACACACACACACACAAATTCCAACAATCTTATCTCAATCTGAAAAATGAAAAACAAATTTTGTGTGTGTGCTAGTACTGGAGCTCAAACTCAGAGTCTTGTGCTGTTGTTTTGACTTACTTTTTTGTTCATAGCTGGCACTCTACCACATGATCTATACTTCCAGTTTCAGCTTTTTGCTGGTTAACTGGAAATAAGGGTCTTGAAGATTTATCTGCCAAGGCTGGCCTCAAACCTTGATCCTCAGATCTCAGCCACTGGAGCCTGACTAGAAACTATATTCTTCTTTTTTTTGGTCAGTTGTGGGTCTTGAACTCAGAGTGTGGGCATTGTCCCTGAGCTTTTACACTCAAGTACATTGCTCTACCACTCTGAGCCACAGAGCCACTTCCAGTTTTCTGGTATTTAATTAGAGATAAGAGTCTTACAGATTTTCCTGACCTGGCTGGCATCAAACCATGATCCTCAGCTCTCAGCCTCCTGGGTAGCTAGGATATAGGCATGAGCCACTGACGTGTGGCTAACATTTTATTCTTTGAAATTACATTGAGCCATAAAATCCAAATGTCTGCAAATGGCAATTTTCTAGTTAAAAAAATGATCTTGGCTCACTGTCTTTTTCTGAAGATAGCGAAATCCTTTAACCTGTCATTCAAAGCCTCCCTTCAGCTTCAGCCTATCTTTCTTAGTTTTTTGCTTAGCACCTTTCTTCTCTCTTTCTCGGGGTTAGCCCTTCCTGACCTTCCCTGACCCTGAGGCACGTTCAGCCTCTGTCCTCTCTGGTCATGAAAAGCGCCAGCCTTGTGACAGCTGCCCTGGGCTGCCTCCCAGTACCTCCCTCACAATTCAGTATCCTCCTTGCCAGGGGCATCGAGCTGTGCCTTGAATTCCAGCTTGGAGAGGCTCTGGCATACCTGCGGGGTCTTACCAGTCTCCTGTGCTCACCCATTCTCACATGGAGTCAGGCCCCAGGCCCGGTACAACCCAGATGGAAGGCAAAACTATACTGCGCATGCCTTCTTTCAGATGAGACCTGTGCTTTTCCCACCCCTCCTCCTGGACCCTAGCTTCCTTCCCTTCCTCTCTGGCTTGTTAGAACCCACTAGGCAGCTTGGCCAAGACTTCAGGGTTGTTCTACCTCAACACACTGAGCTTCTCACTTCTGCTACTTCAGCTGAACCACACCTCCTGACACTTCTTTCTATAAGTCAGTGGCACTTGGAGTGCTCTTGCCAGGCCCCGGCACACAAGGCCAGTGTCCCAGGCTCTGCCCATTAGGAACCAGGGATATCAACAGTGGTGGTCAAGGAGAAGTTCACAACATCTCACTTCCAAGAGCTGAGCTTCTGAAAGGCAGGGCATACATCTCTGTATAAACATGGGTTTATGGAACCATGGGCTAGTTGAGATTGGTTTGGGAAGGGAGGGGAGAGAGACAGACAAGGTGAGTCCAATCAAGGTACATAGATATATGGACCTATCAAAATGATTGCCACCCTTATACAATGGGTTGATAGCAATAAAAATATTTAAAACCTAATCACCATGGTAGGCACAGCTAGAACTCTGTGCTTATTTCCTGAGTAAATAAATGAAGAAGCTGTGAGCTCCTGTAGTATTCCCTCAATTCACTTTTCCAGCATATACCTACGATGAATTTTGAAGAGTTTTCAAGTTACGACTGAAGGGACCAACACCGATAGTGCACGCACCATGTCACCTGACTCAGGGGTGTTTATAGTACGCCCCTCACTTGGAAAGTCAGAACCACTGCATGTCTCGTGTCTTAATTTACTGGCAACATTCATTTTCCTAAGAGCTTATTTTGCTAACTTTTTTAAAAAATCCAGAAATGACCGTTATTAGAGGCTTAGAACGGGCTAACGAGAATTTGGGGACACAGAAATATAGGCAAGGTCCCCATCCTGGAAGAACATGATTTTGAGAACAACACTTGAAAACATAGTAATGATGAAATAAAAGTGAAGATATTATAGTTTATGCTTGTAATCCTAGCAACTCAGGAAGCTGAGATCTCAGGATTAAGGTTAGAAGCCAGACTCTTATTTCGAATTGACCAGCAAAAATTCAGAAGTGGAACTATGGTTCAAGTGGTGGAGTGTCAGCCTTGAACAAAAAAGCTAAGGGAGAGCACTCAGGTCCTGAATTCAAGCCCCAGTACAGACAGACAGACACACAGACACAGACACACAGACACACAGACACACACACACACACACACATCGTACACAAAGTTTCTCTATGTACTACTCACTAACATTTATCAGGTTCTTGGTTCAAAAAAATGTGGTAAGATTTGAGAGGACAGTTACAGGTGACTCTCAGAGTTAGAAACAAAATTCCTCTTGTCTAGAGGCCAATGTTCTTTTCTTTGAAGTATATGAACCCTTTAAAGGGCAGTTACTGGGCTGGGGGAACAGCTCAATGGTAGAGGCTTCCTTCTATCTGGGTTCAGTCCTCAGGACAACAACAACAAATACTACTACTACTACTACTACTTGCTACTTCTCCACTAGGGAAAGCCTGAGAAAATGAAGGTGCCCACCAACCCCCAAGAGAGGGTAGGCAGGGCAACTTCTCCCTATGTAAGGGGACCAGGCAGCGTGGGCCAGGTGCTGGCTAGCTGCTGGCTAGCTCTTCACTAGAAGCCCTGAACTGGGCTCCTGGCAGGCATCTTCTCAGCATTGGTAACACCCTGCTGGTTAAGAGCATCTCAAACCAAAAAGAGAAGTTGTCCTGTTATCTCCCCTGCCCCACCCCATTTTAATTTAGCCAATAAAGTTTGCTACTTCCTACTCAGTGAGAATAGAAATGACCCCCACACTCAATCCATGCAAGAAGAGTTTTAGAAAGACACAGAAAAAGATGGAGACACAAGAGTAAGAGTGGATCCCTGGTGTTTATGTGCCACATCACTGAGACACTCTTTCCTGGGACTGTAGTTACACAGGGCTGGAGAGCAGGCCACAGCATCTGCAGCAGCACCAACCTCCATGGTGTCATACCTTCCATGCCCACACTGTGACTTCTGTCTTTTCCAGAAACTCACAGAAACCTCTTCCCATGAGAAGAAATAAAATACTTTCCTCTTGTGAGGCACATTTCACTTTTTTGAGAAGACAGACAGGACATGATACTCCACCATAGGAGTATCATGAGAAGCAAAAACTGTGAACAGTGTGTTAACAGTGAATGACTTCTTCAAGAACTCAAGGCCTTGAGATTTCAGATTTTTTTTTTATCATGATTGACACTCTTATCACTTGAGCCACATCTCCACTTCTGGCTTTTTGCTGCTTATTTGGAGATAACTAATTGTCTGCCCTGGTTGGCTTTGAGTAGAGATTCTTGATCTGAGCCTCTGGAGTAGCTAAGAGTACAGGTGTGAGCCATTGGTGCCTGGCTAATTATTTACTTTAATGGACAGCGAATGCCAGTAGAAAATACCCTAGAAGTTTAAGGATGCGAGAAAAATTAAATTGTTTTAATTTCCTGTACTACCAAAGCCATGTGACTCTTGACAATCTAAGTCTACAGATGATACGGGAGAGAAGGTACTGGGTAGAAAAATAAAATACTCCATAGGACCTCTAAAAGTAAGTACCATCTGACCTACCCTTCATCTTCACCCTGGCTTCTTGCTTCCTTCCATATGGACTTACTAGGCCTGGGGCATCCATTGTCACTGAAGACACAAGGCAAAGAAGGAAGGGTACCATGGAAGGGGTGGGGGCTGATGGGTCGGCTGGGTGGAAATATCACAATGAAACACCCCCGTTCAACTAATGTGTACTAATAAAAATCTTTTCAAAGAGAGATGTAGTTGGGAGCCAGTGAACTGTGCCTGTAATCCTACCTACTCAGAAAGCTGAGAGCTGAGGATTGTGGTTTGAAGCCAGCCTGGGCAGGCAAAGTCCATAAACAACACTCTTCTCTTCAATTAACCACCCCCCAAAAAACTGGAAGTGGAGCTGTGGCCCAAGTGGAAAAGCACCTCCTTTGAGCAAAAACGCTCAGGGATAACACCTACCTACACCCCGAGTTCAAGCCCCAGGACACACGAGCACCCGCACGCGCGTGGGGTACTCACAAGCCCAACACCATCACCTAAGACAACCTGGATGACTCACTCTATCTTAACCGCTGAAAATTCACTTTAAGAAAAAAAAAGGGGGGCGGGGGCTCCATTACCTTGAGCATGCGGATTTCCCGGAGGGCGATTTTCTTTATGACAGGGTCATCTTCGGATTCCAGAAACCTCTTGATGGCCACGAGCTGGCCCGTGTCTCGGTTTCTGCATTTGAAAACAACGCCATAGGACCCCTCTCCAATTTTCCCGATTTTCTCATACTTCTCCATCCCCGGGGAACGGCGTTTCACATCGTCTTTCCACGCCGCTCTTAGGAAATTCGGGCCCGGATAGACGGCCCCGGCGCTCCAAGCAGGCCGGGGGTGAGCCAGGGACCTAGCTCAGGGCAGAGGAACGTGTTAGAGAATTAGGAGCCCCCCCAGACCCCCGGCCCCCGGCCCGGCCGTGGCCCTCAGAAACGACCTCCACCCCGGGGTGGCCCGATTGACCGCCTGTGCGTTCAGCACCGTCCCCCAGCCGGCCTCCGCGGGCTCCTCTGTCTTTGTAACGCTCTCCTTCATCCGATCTCCGACACTTGAGCCGGCTGGAGTTCGCGGACCGCTAAGGGCTTCCCCGGTTCTAATTTCGGGTGTCATTTCCGCGCCTCCCGAGGGGCGGCGGCGGCGGGGATCGCCCCGCGTCCTCGGCGTCCTCCGAGGCGCGGGGCCGCCTCTCCCGCAGCTTATCCGGCCTTCTCCCCGCCCTGCGTCCCGGCAGGCGCCCCGAGGCGGGAGGACTCCGGGATCCCGGGACCCCCGAGTCCGGGGACTCACCGCGTCGGACCCCGAGGGCCGCTCGGAGCGCGGCGGGCGGGCCCCGCGATCCCTATGGGAACCAACCCCCACCCCGTGTGGGTCTGGGCGGGGCCGCCGCACCCCGGTTCCCACCTTCCGCCCGCTCCCCGGTTCCCCGCTCGCCCTCCTTCCCGCAGAGGAGATCGGCACGATTGCGAAGTGGAAGTGCACCCGTGCCAGACCGTGCGCGCGCGGAGCCTGCCCCTCTCCCCCCCCCCCCCCCCCGCCTCCGGCGCACCCCGACACGGCCCGTGCGCCCCGCCGGCGTTTCCCTGGGGGCGGCCGCCAGCGAAACGGGCCGGCGCGTCCCCGGACCCGCACCCTCCTCCTCCCCCCCCCCCCATCGACCCTCAGGGTCAGGCATTGCTGGGCGCTCGGGCGTCTCTGGGCAAGGTGGCCGCCACACTACACATCTGTTCACACGCGCAGCACCCAGGGAGGCGCGAGCCCGGGAACTGAGACCGCTGGAGAGGACCCCGCCCGGGCCGCGCCACGCTGCGCGCTGCGGGTGCGAATCCGAGCAGACTTCAGGGAGGATCCTCCAGTGCGGGAGGAGGGTGGCCGCCTGGAAAATGGAGGAGAGTCAGGGATGGGCGAACGGGGCCTGTGGACTGCCCAGAAATGATTTGCCACAGGCGCCCACGGATTTGTTTTATTTTCTCTATCACTTTGTCTTTTTCCCCGAAGGTAATATAAATAGAAGCGTAAAAGCTTCGTTCACACCACAGAACGCATCTGAGATGCACCCATGTGTTCCATGTGGCCGCACCCCCTCCTTTGCCATTGTTAAATAGTATTCCGTGGTGCGGATGTGCAAACGTTTGTTTCTTAATTCCTGGTTGCTGAATCTCTGAGTTGTGCTTCCGGTTTGGGGTGAGCGTCCTTCAAGCCACCGCTAAGAGTTCATGCATAACCTCGTGTGTGAACATGTGTTTCCAATTCTCGTGACAAAACACTCGGAAGCGGACTGCTGGTAGTTAGGATAAGTGTTTTTCCACGTGGCTGTACCCTTTCGTTCCAACCACCCTGCACCCTGGCCAGCATTTAGCATCCTCGTCCTTTTGATTTTAGTCATTCTAATAGGTGGTTAATGGCCTTCAGAGGTTTTAGTTTGCATTTTTCTAATGACTCAGTGTCATCTGGTGTCTTGTCAAGCATGGGTTTCAGGAAGTGGTTTTTTTTATTTGTTTGTTTTAAAGGAAAGTTTTTAAAAGAAGAATTCCTTAGGTTGGATTCTCTAGGCCATCATGGAATCTGCAAATAGGGACAGTTTCAGTTCTTCCCAATCAGTGCCCTTTTTCTTATCCTTATCCTTGTTCTTGCCTTACTGGGCAGGTGTGATATTAAGTAAGAGTGAATAGCAGGATGCCAGTGGCATAATCTTAGTTGAGAATGGAGGATTGTGGCTTGAGGCCAGCCTGGGAGACTTTCTCAATTCCTAGCTGGGCAAAGTGGTATGCCCTTGTCACCCCAAGCTACATTGGAGGCTGGGATTGGGAGGATCTCGGTGCCAGGCCAGTCTAGGCAGAAAAACCTGCAAGCCTGTCTCCCTGAGAAGGAGGCTAGATGGGTGCCCGTGTGATCCCAGTGCAGCTGGGATGCCTTTAGTAGATGATCACACCCCAGGCTGGCCCCAGCAGGAGGGGGGACCCTATCCTAGAAATAACCAGTGCAAAACAGGGCTGGAGGCAAGGCTCAGCAAAGTGTGAGGCCTTGAATTCAAACCTTCCAGTACCACCTGCTAGTGTGGGGGTGTGAGGGGGCCGTGAGGGCATGCATACATTGTCTTACTGTTGATCTTAGGAGGAGAACATATAGTTTTGCAGCATCAAGTATAAAGCGAGCTACAGAATTTTTTGTAATTCATTGAAATGTGTTGAAGTTGGTTTTATGATACAGAATATAGTCTATGTTGATAAGTTTTTCCTTCCTTCCTTCCTTCCTTCCTTCCCTGTCTGTGTCTGTCTGCCTGTGTCTGTCTGTCTGTCTGTCTCTCTCTCTCTCTCTCACCAGTCCTACTGGGGCTTGAACTCAGAGCCTGGGCACTTCCCTGAGCCTATCTGTGCTCAAGGCTAGCATTCTAACACTTGAGTCTCAGCATCACTTCTGGTGTTTTCTGTTTATGTGATACTGAAAAATCGAACCCAGGGCTTCATGCATGCTAGGCAGGTACTCTACCACTAAACCACATTCCCAGCCTGTAAATGCTACTTTCTGACAATTAAAAAAAATGCTACACACACACACACACACACACATTGAAATAAAGCAAGAAAAATCAGTGTGACTTTTTCCAGAAGCTACCTTTTGCAAAGTTCATATCAGGTTAAAGAGAGTTGGGCTGGAAAATTAACTTTATGGTCTCCACAAGGTTCAGTACCCAAGGCTTCTGGATTAGTGCCAAGCCTAGTGCTAGTTAGAGAAGGAGCAACCAATGTGCCAGGGCTAAGTAGGCAGTGAACCGGAAAGCCAGAGAAACTTGTGGTTCCAAGTTGTTTGGGGAAAGTTGGAGCAAAACTTGAGGGAACAACTTCCAAAAGGAGACAAACAAGCTGCTGTCAGCAGGTAGCACAAAAGAGAGAAAATATAATGGGCCTATACTGTCCATTCGATAGACCATACAGTTAGCAAGTTAGTAACTGGTTTTGATATCAAAGTATAAGTAACTCCTGGAGAGTGGAGCTTTTGGGAAGCTGAGAAAGGATTTAGATTTTTTTTTTTTGTCTTAAGCAAGTGCAAAGAACAGGGAAACCATGTAATTTTTTCTTACAGAGATCATTTCTCTGCAGCACTGTGTAATTAGAATAGTTCTGAGCCCTGAAGTAGAACACACAGTACTGTGGTATTTCAGTCATTCATGGAAATAATAAATGTTCAGTAGAGGAACCCATGGAAGCAGAAGGAGTGCCAGGTAGGAATCACAATCTTCCTCTGGGTGTTCAATGGTTGCATGGCAATCCCCATTGCCTGTACAGTAGCAGCAACAACTAACGAGTGCTTACTTCAAGACACAATATGTATGAATTTCACACATGTTGTAGGCAATATTATCCTAAGGATTCAGATGAGAACACCGAGTAAAAAAGATCAGGCAGATGTAAGGACACCCAGCTCATGGGTTGTGAAGTCAGCACTAGGACATAGACATTTGGGTTCTAGGACCTTGGCTTCTGATGGGTGATCATAATACCTGGGGTACTTGCCAGAATTTTTCAGTTAATTAACAGGACACTGGAAGTTGATTTGAAGTATTTATGGTGTACAACATATTGCCCTTCCTTTTAAGCTTTTTTCTTAGATGCTTGGAAGATGAGTCTTGCTCTTACACTGTACACGGCCTTCTCCTGGTGGCCCAGTGGTCTGATCTGTGAGAAGCTAGAGCACTGGAGAGAGGCAGTTCTGCAGTGGTGGGCAGGACCCTTCCTGTGTCTCAGTGCTGAAAGGAAGTTATTTTTTCTCCGACTATGCTTCCTGTAAGGACGAGGGAGTTGACCTTGGAGCATGACATTCTACATTAGCTTGAGATTCTGCTTGAATTCATTCATTTTCCCTATTGTAAGTAGATTTAGAAAGGAAATTGCTTCCAGTCACACACACACACATTTTATATATACACATATATAATTTGTACATAATTTGTTTATATAAAAATGTTTAGTGTGTGTGTGTGTGTGTGTGTGTGTGTGTGCGTGCAGGTCCTAGGGTTTGAACTCAGGGCTTAAGCACAGTCCCTGAACTATTTTGCTCAAGGCTAGCTCTCCACCACTTGAGCCCCAGCTCCCTCTCCAGCTTCTTAGGGGGCGTTAATTGTAGGCAAGAGGTTCCTGGACTTTCCTGCCAAGTTTGGCTTTGAACCACAATCTTCAGATCTCAGCCCCCCCTAAGTAGCTAGGATTACAAGTGTGAGCCACCAGCACCTGGCTACAAATAATATTAATAACTACCATTATGGGAACTTGGGCTTCAGGTTTAATATTCACAATTCTCTCTCACCTTTACGCCAGTCCTAGATTTGTTAGCCCATTAATTACTAATTATTATTATTACTATAATGGCCCTGCTTTATTATATTTTATTCAATAATATTTATTATTATATTATTATTAATTAATTATTATTAACGGCCCTGTTTTATAGAAGAAGAGGCTGGAGGCTCAAGAGGCTGATCACGGTAGTCAAGAGGCTAAAGTCAGGTTTCAAAACCTGCTTCTCCTCTTTCCAAAGCCTGGCTATCACAGACATATAAAGAAAGGGAGCAGCTAAGAACCCTAAGAATGGTTGGTTCTGGTACTTGACATACAGGGAGCTGATCTTTGGGCCCACCCACTGGTCTGGTCCCAATATACAGCCACCCAAAGAGAAGCCAGGTGCTGGCCAAGGTCTTTCTGAGCAGTCAGGAATGTAATGCTGACACATTATAGATGTAGGCCTGGAATACCATTCTACCTTCCTTATTCTGACCTGGCTGGTGAGGCAGTGTAAATACTGGGAAATCCATCTGAGTAATAAAAAGAGCCTATCTTAACTGACTTTACATGTGGGCCAGCCAATAAGCAAATAGGCAATGACCTTAGCTCTTTTGCATGTGGTTTTCCTCTTTAAATTCTTATTATGCTTTATATCTGGTAGCCAGTCCTTTTAAAAGGACTTCTTCTAGGATTGAGACAGGCAGCAAGCAATGATTCCTGGTTGCTAGGGCAACAGACGCTGTTAACAGGGTCCACTCTCAAGACTGCCTTTTCTGGCCCTCAAAAAAAGGTCTGGGGTTTAGCAAATGATTCACAAATCGCTCATCATCTAAGTCCCACATAAAGGGAGAGAATAAAGGTCTTGGTAAAATTCCTGGTCAGACAGTTCCTCGCTGCAAGTCATGATAATGAAAGGGTTTATCCAGGCTCTGTTTTTCAGTGGCTCACATCTGTAATTCCAGTTGCT